TGAAATTGCAGAGAGGGTTTTAGGTGATTAAATACCAGTTGCAGTCCAGTGATTAGATGTGTAAAGGAGGTTTCCTTGTCCTACACGGCTCCTGGTGCTCCCGAGGCTGACTGGTACTGCTGACACCTGGGCATTTCTTTGTCCCTCATTTCTCCTGCTCTTCTTGTCCTTGCCAAATGGTGTGGGAGATATGAGTGACAATCAGTATATGACACCTTATGTTAAGCCATGTACCATTTATGACCACAATGAGAAAATGCTGTATGATGAAATTTAAAGGCCAAAATCTGGATTGCAATCTCCCAGGCCTGTGATCAGTTTGTTCAAGTCTTACAAGAGAGATTCCACGTTCATTACTTCCTTGGAACCAGAAGACTCAAGAGAAGACCCAAATCTCCTCAGAGCAGAAGCTGGTTTATAAGCAGCTTTCCAAAGTCAGAGCTATCCAGAGCACTTTGTGTGGCAATAAAGTAAATAGTGCAGCAATGTTTTTGGTACAGAAAGCAGCCGTTATACACTAGGCAATGCATATATGGAAGGAACGTATCTGGAAGGAGAGAAGCAGCAAGGAGAGAAAAATAAAGCAGGGGCCCAGATTCTGCAATAGGTCTATTGAAGGCAAAACCAATGACAGCAGTGGGGCTGAACCAGGCAGCAATGGAGCCACGTGCCTTCCTCCTCCTGCACAAACCACCCCTCTGGCCATCCTTTGCAAAGCTGCAGCCAAACAATAATCACGTGGCAGAAGTACGTGCAGGAGGGGATGAAGTTCTCTCTTCCTAAACACAGCTTTCAGCACATCCATTTAAGTGTAAATGCTAGGGTTTATAGACTTCAAGAGAAAAACAGAATCAAAGGCAAATGGTTACCTGCCATGGACCTAGGAGGTCACCTTCACAATCCCTGAAACATAAACCAAATTCTTCCCAGGATGGAAATAAAGCCTGTTTTCCACAATAGCTTCTATCTGCAGTTTTTCAGCAAAATTCTGGATAATTCTTCTGCCACAACCCTTCAATTGAACAAACTTCAATTTGCACAGGGATATAACAGCAGAAAGAATGAAGGCAGCCCTTTGTTGGCTACTTTGGCACACCAGTGCCTTGGGTTATTTCACTTTGCTGGCCCTTGCCTTGAGTTGTTTTGCTTTGCTGGCCTGAAGCTCCGATCCTCTGAACTTGCAATTGCAGGCTTCGTTCATCACACCAGCAAGTACTGAAGGAAATGTCACTGGCTGTAAGTGCAAGAGGTTGCAATCAGCTCCTGCAAAAGGCAGCAACTAACAGACAACCAGGGAGAAGGGCTGTGTGTCCCTATTCCATGTAGGCAGAGCTGGAATACATACCAAAGCACATGTGCCACCCCAAAAGACTCGTGTGGGGTGACTAATTACTTTTTCTCTTTAGAAGTGGGCAGGGAAGCATAATGTGTTCACGATTACAAGGACATAAAAGCAGCCTGTGATTATTTTCCATGGGAATTCTCGGGAGCGGCGATGCAGGTGTCTCAGAGGATAGCAGGGCCAGGTATTGCTTTCTGTGGGATGCTGACCTGCCCTCCCTGCCTCCTCACTGTGTGCTGTGGCCTTATCCCAGCCAGAGTTATCCCATAGCCAGTGGAGCTCCCCAGGAACTTATCTCCTGGCCAATACCCTATGGCGGGTACCACCCCAGATGGGCCAGGATGGGATGAAACCCCCCACCAGAGCTGCTCAGGCACTCAGCCAGGACCCTCTAAGTTTGGCTATAGGAAAGCAACTTTCTCAAAGTCAGCACTTGAAGGATCCAGGCATAACTCAAATAATCCCTCAGGATGGGAAGAATAGATGAACAAAGCTCCGGTGTCTTCTCCACATCCACCCATTTCTGCTCTCTCTGAAGGCAGATCATTTGGCATCTGTTTGTTTGGCTCCCATGAGACTCTGGAAACAGCTGTAGCATAAACACAGGAAGCTCCCAAGGGTGGAAAAGCATCCCGAGGGAAGGCAGCTCTTCCCTGGTGCCACCACAGCCCAACTTTAGGACTTACCCCAGGACTTCCAGTGCATCAGTGCAGCAGTTGTGCATATTTCTCTCTGGATGCAAAGGGGCAGTGAACAACTGAAAGCAAAGCTCTGCCCACCCTGGTAGAGCCGCTTTCTGAATTCACCAGGTCTATTTTGGGGTGTGGGAAGGAGGTTGAAGCACTGAACACCAGATCAGAGCAGTTTCCTGCTATCTGCACCACAAAGACAATGTGTCATGTGCTCGAAAGATTAGAATTTGGGTTTTGTTATCATCCCCTTCTATCAAAAGGAAGTTATGCACACAAAGGAAACACCAAACCAGCATGAAAGGAGGGCTATAAATCATTTACTGATGAATGCTAAGAGGAGGACAGAGAACCCAATAGGAAAGCAAGGGTTTTGAAAAGCCCCTTTTAACTCACAGTCACTACATTTCAACAACCCTTGCTTTTATTTTGGGAGAGGCTGAAAGAGAGTGCATGGTTTCAGAACTCAGAAAGCAGTGGGTTTGTTTTTGGGGGTAAAGCAACCAGTTTGGTAGTGAGATCCATTTTCTCTCGCTCATCTTGGTGTCCCTCAAAATAACCTCCTGGGAAGAGTACAATCATTGCAGATCATTTCTGCAGCTTTTACATTCTGAGCTGTTGCAACAGGGGAAAAAAATGGGTGTAGATGTGGTACTGAGGGACGTGGATAGTGGGCATGGTGGGGATGGGTTGGTGGTTGGACTAGATGATCTCAGATGCCTTTTCTATGGTTATTGTTGCCTTTAAAATACGATTACTACTCAGAAAAATGATCGGGTGAGGGGTAGTCATCAGGAGAATGGCGTGATTCAGGGCTGCCAACTTCTACTGTTCCCTCATTCCAAGTCACAGAGTGAGTCAGTGGAAAAGGCACTGAAATCAGTGCAGTCACCAAGGTGCCAGCGCTCATATGGGGGCTCCTACACCAGCAGTGTGGGAGTCTCCAGCCCAGAGGGGACATGTTGTCAAAGCAAGAACGTAGGAAAGCAATGGCAAAACTGCATTCAAAGCTCTGCTATGCCAAATCCTAGTGCTTCTCACCCTAAATCTGTGTCAGCTGAAGGTATAGCAGCCCGTGGGGAAGTCCATTTCCTGCTCAAATGTCCTCACATTTAGTTCTCTACAACAGCTAAAATACTGCCTTGCACAAGGCACTTCCCATTCAAACATAAAGTGCAGAATATTCACAGCATGCAAATCATTAGTCTAGAAGCTCTGCCACCAACGGCTAATTAACTGGAGGTGCTGTAATGATCACATCTCGGGGAAAGGCTATATATGAGCAGTGCATGAGCAGAAGTCGCCCTTCAGCGAGCTGCTCCATTCAGAAAAAAAGCATTCATTCTGCAAATGCTGCTCAGAGGAACCAGCGTGGTAACCTGTACAATTGGAACTTACCATGCAATTCTTGCCCGTACGAACAGCATGTATGCAATCATAAGAGGGTTGCGAAGTGAGATGAATGGATCATTTAGCAGTACACAAATTAGCATGTGAGTGAAAGCAGAGATCAAATGTGAGATCTCACAAATCCACAGGAAGTGACTCAAGAAATGAGGTATCGGGTAAACCTTCAGCTACTGTGTCTGGGAAAGAGTGGCTGCTCACCGCTGGGATGTGAAATACACTCTAAGTGCTGGGACCAGAACGCCAAGCTCCCAGCACCAACAGCAATGCACACACCCTAGTCCTCCACAGCAGGATGTGCATTACCGTGATCTTTTAGAGATGGGATTTTAGTGATGGGCTTCTCCCCCTGCTGTGGCTCTGCGGGAGGCAGCAGCTACATGCTGTGCTCACTGCTTCACACGTATCCATGTGATGCTGCAGCTGAACAATGAGGAGCATGGAGTTAATGAGGAAGTTAGGAGCCTGTGTAATCCCAGCATCATTTGAAGAGGAAAAAAAAAAAAGGCAGGGAAGCCCCCAGCCATGAAAACCTAATATGGTGAGACCACCACAGCCATGGTCCTGGTCCCACCTCTGAAGGATGCACTGCTTCTCCTCAGGGTAACCACCCCACAGGCCATGGAGCTTGCAGAGGCTCTCGCCTCCACCATGCTGCTGGCACGCAGTCCATCCAGTTTTTCCAAGTTTTCAGTTCTGTTCCTGAAAAGAGAACTGATGCCGTCGGAAAGTCGCGAGTGCAGCAGCAGGCATCTTCCCAACGAGGTGCAGAGGCCGAGAGCGGGACAGACAGGTCTGCCGGGACTGCTGGGCGGCAGCAGAATCATACATCACCCACAGACACCTTGGGCCTCATCATGAGGCTACGGGCCTCATCCCGCACCCGCGGCGGGCTTTCCACTCGCCCGGACGCCTTTCAGCACACGCCAACCGGGCTTACGCGCCTCCTGAAGAAGCGCCTCGCGGGTAAGGCCCCGGAACGAGGGGTCGGCGCCCCGACCGCGATCGGGGCCGGGCCGCGGGAGCCGGGCGGGGCGGGGCGTGGGGGGCGAGGCGAGGGGAGCGGCCGCACCCCGCCGCCTGCGTTGCGCTGCGGGGCTCGGGGGGCCGGGCCGGGGCGGGCCGCGCCGCCGCGGGGGAGGCGCCAGCAGCGGCCGCGTCCCCTCCTTCCTCGCCGCCGCCGCGGCTCCCTCCCTCCTTCCCTCCCTAGGTCCGGCGCTGCCCTGCCCGCCGCCGCTCGGCAGCGCCGCCGCTTCCTGCCGGGCCCCCCCCTCCTCCCTTCTCCGCCGCCGCCCGCGGCGCCCCGCCATGGCGTGAGCGCGGCCATGGGGCTGGCCCGGCGCCGCCGCCTGCCCCCGGGCGCTGCGCCGCTCCCCCGGGCCCGAACCCCGCGCCGCCGCCGCCGCCGCCGCGCCCCCGCGGCGCCCTCCCCGCCGCCTCCGCCGCCTCCCCCGGCCGCCGCCCGCCGCCCAGCGCGGCCGTAGCACCGCCGGACCGCTCCCCCCGCCCCGCCCCGCCTCAGCCTCCCGCGCCGCCGCCGTCCGTCGGGCCCGGCCCGGCCCGGCGCGGCCGCCAGCCCCGGCCCCGCCGCGGCGCGGCCTCCCCCGCCATGTGAAGCGCAGGAAGATGCGGAGGCGCAGCCCGGCCGCTCGCGGCGAGGGATGAGCCGAGACGGGGAGAAGATGACCGAGGACGCCTACCCAGACGAGTGAGCGGGGGAGGACGGGCGGGCTGGGGGGGGCTCTCCGTGTGTGTATGTGTGTGTTTGGGGAGGGGGGGGGGGGGGTCGCTCCGTGGCCCCGTTTGGGGCTCCCCCCGGTACCCCCCCCCACCCGCGGACGGACGGTCGGACGCACGGACACGCGCGTGCGTGAGCGCGCGGCCGCCCGCCCGCACATCCGCCGCCATTTCGCGCTCCCCCCGGGCCGCGCTCATTTGCATACCGCATCTTCATTCATAAAAAAAAAAAAAAAAAAAAAAAAAGGAGAGGAAAAAATAATAATAATAAAAAAAAATTCCCTCACACCGCGACGTGTGTGGGTGGGGGGGGGGGGGGCTCCAAACCTCTTCCTCCTCCTTTCCCCCATCCAAAAAAAAATTATATGTTTTCTGTTGGGGGTGGGGGGGAAGGGGGATCGGCCTGCAGCGTGGGGGCGGCTGTGCCCCCGGGGCTCGGAATTTTTTGGTGGCTTTCTTTTTTTTTTTTTTCCGGGGGGGGGGGGGGGTCGGAGCCCCGCCCCGGCCGCCGTTTTGTGAATAGGAGGCGGCCGTCACATGACGCCGCATTCATAAATCCGGTCACCGGTGGCCGCCGCGCTCGGAGGCTCCCCCCCCCCCCCCCCCAATCCCGGGACTCGCGTGTGTGCGGGGAGCGGCTCTCAGACACCCGACCCCTCTGTAAAACCCCCACGCAAATAAATGGCGGTGCGATGTGTGAAGGTTGTGGTGCAGAGCTGTGGGCTCGGACCCCGCGCGTTCTCATCCCCAGTTTTGCCTCGAGGGTTTTATGACAGCCGGGAAAAGGAGGCACTGAGCACAGTGCTGGGTGCGTGCCAAATGCCGTGGGGAGTTTGGGGGCTGTGGGTATGTGGGGCTGGCACCCATAGCATTGGAAACAGTAACTGGCCGAGGAAATGGCCTCTGCCTGCAACGCTTGTGTAAGGAGGAGTGGTGGTTGGGGCACCTTGTAGCAAAGAGGCTGTAAAGCCGCGTTTCTGCATCACTTCTGACATTGTGGTTATTTTGAAGTCAGCGCAGTTCTAACAGGAGAAGCTGGGTTTCTCCTGCTGCTGCTGTGGAGCAGGATGGGAGGGGTGATGGGCTCACTTCCAGCAGACCCCTCGGAGGTCTCACTGTTCTCTCTCCAATGGGACGGCACAGAGGTGGCTATGTGCAGAGCTGGCGGCTGCTGGGGGATGTGGGCAGCGGGTACGGTGGAGACAGCTTGCTGGTTGGGCTAGTTGATCTTAGCGGTCTTTTCCAACCTTAACGATTCTATGATTGCACCCCGCGCCCCAGGCCTGCACTTGCCACCCCGTTGGTGGGCATTGGGGTGAAGGACGCTCTGCATTGCAAGTGGAGGCCGTGTCGGAGCTGCTGCCCTGATCCCGGTGCTGCTGTGGGTACCGCTCCCTCCTGGCCCTTCCCTGCGCTGATGGATAGCACTGCTGCAGGTGACTCATGCGCCGTCCTTCTTGGCGGCGGTGGGTGATGTTTTTCAATCTATGTGGTGTTAGAAGAAATAAAGATGGGCCCTTTCCATAAGTTTGCTTGGGCTGTTGGAACAGCGGCAGCATTGCGTGCTATTTGCCCCAGATATCTGGCTTTGATTTGCATAGCTCTTCTCGTTTCACTGAGTGCACTGTGAACAAATGTTAACAGGCAGATTACAGACGAAGCACCGCAGCCAGCGTGTGTTTAAAATCAGTACGTTGTCTTTTTCCCCATCGTTGGCTTTTTTCATTTTGCTTGGGGAGCTTTTCTTCCATATTTAGAGTGTTTGAACCATTTGATGAAACCAAAGAGGAGAGAGATGAGTCTCTGGCTGCACAGGCTCCTTCATGACTGCACCATTTCCGATCGATACCCAGAGGTCGATTTGTCATTGCTGGAGGATGTCTTGTTCTGCCCCCCGGGCTGCGTGCTGCCAGGGACCGGGCGATCGGCCGGCGTGTCGCGGCTGTATTTCTGGCTGCGAGTGGGAGGATTCAGCTGAATCGGAAGGCATAAAATGATTCAGTTACGCCCGAAGGCGGCCGCGGCACATCATTACGATGCAGGCTTCCAAGAAAGTCACAGGAAGTAATTAAATGGAAAAGGTCAGAGAATGAGGAAGTGTCGCTCCGCGGCGTTTCGGGATGGAGCTGGGAGCCCTATGCAGGAGCTGGGGTGGGAGCTGCAGGCATGGCTGTGGCAGTGAGCTTATTCCTTCCAGCAAAGGGCATGGAGCTGAGCTGCTCCCCGGATCCCACCTCCTGCCATGGCTGCTTCAAGCACTCACCCCGCCGATGTAGCACTTTGCCCTTTACACTGAATTTTCTATTTTTTATTTTTTCCCCCATTTTGCCCATTACTACTGATTTTTCACTGTTATAAGCCATCCATTCAGCTAGCTGTGTTTTTTTTTCCTTTTCTTTCAAGCTTGAGCCAGAGAGAAAGGCATGGGACATACTTTGTGTCATGACATTATTGCTTGCAAATAGGACAGGAAATGAAGGGTTGCCAAAATATAACTGTTTATTTCTTGGCCTGAAAACACGGCTGTTTAAAATACTACATGTAAGTAGCTGCTTTGTTCGGTTACTTGGAGAACTTGCTGTTTCTAAGGGAATAATAGGTCTGTCGGATGGAAAAAGGGAAAGAAAAAAAAAAAAAGAGAGCACCCTTTCTGCTTCTGTCTTGGAAACAAGTTGAGAAGCAGCTGTAGATAGAGAGATTTTGGTGAGGGTTTGGTTGGTTCACATGGAGAAGGACCTGGGGAAGAGGATTGTGCTTTAGCCCAAACCGTCAGAAAACCCCAATCCTGTTCTTGGCTCAGAGAAATCTAAAAAACTTGCCTTTGGGCCAGAAAGTGGGTTTTTCAGCCAGAAGCAGCGGGTGATGGATGGTGCTTGCCCGTGGCATGGATGCAGCCGGGAGCTGCTTCGACCTGTTTCTGCATCGCGTTGTAATCTCGACCTGGCACACTCTCTAGCGTGGGTTAAAAGGTGGCTTTATCTACCCGCTTAATTAAATCCCGAGGCTGCAAACAAAAGCACGTTGCACAGCAGAGGCTCTTCCTTAACGTGGACTTGCTTGGCTGGTAGCTGGCTTGAAACCACAAAATTGTTTCCTTGGGGCCACCAAACCACAGGGAGATGGCGGTGGTTGTCATTCTTCAGGACCAGGGTGGAAGGCAGGAGCTCAGGAAAGAGAGGCAACGTCACCGCTGGCTCAGTCCCTCCATCACATACATGCTGGTATGCTTGAAGAATTGATAAATTCAATTCCCTTTCCTGCAGCAGAGTTGGAACAAACGGCCCTCTGAGATGCTGAACCTGGGAGAGATACACTTGTCAAGCTCTGGATATTGTTATGGTTCTGTATAGGGTGCTGGATCCCAAAAGAAGTGTCCCTGCTGGTGAATTCTACCCGTTGGATGGCTTCACTGGGGTTCTGCAGAAGTCCAGATGCTGTGGCCCACTGGCTGAGGTGCACCTTGCACATTCCCAGCTGCTGAAACCAGCTTTGGCTGCAGGAATTGTTCCTTTCACTGTGTCCATTGAAAAATGTACTTTGTTTCCTTTCTTCTTCCTCTTTTCTCCAGCTTTCTTAACACTAGAAGATGATCCTTCTCGTGAGAGATGCTCAGGTGAAGAGAGAACAGAGATGAGTAAAATCATAAGTTCAGCTCTAGATACTGCACTGATGATACATGCCTTCTTCAGTGTGCAGAGTGTTTGGTATTTGGGAGGACTTAATGTTCCTGAAGAGGCATGGAAATGAAAACGAAAGAAGCTGGATGGCTTGTAGTATGAGGGTACAACTACCTTGCTTCTGCCTGTGTGCGTTTGCAGGAGACTCTCTGATGTGTCGGTTGTCAATGGAGGGAGCCCAGAACTCATTATGGATGGGATCAGCATGTTGGTACCTGTGTGCATCGCATCTGTGCTCCGTGCCTCTTCTTAAGTCAGACAAGCAGCTGAAGCGCGATGCTGGCTGCCTTGTACAACAGAAGTAGGTGCTTCCCCTTAAAAGCAAGCTGTGTTTTGTCAAAAACAGTATTACAAAGTGTGCTTTCAGGGCTTCAAAGATATGTGTGCCAACAGCCAGCAGGTTTTACCTGTTGCAGAAGGTTTCGGGGAGATTTATCCCAAATTATTATTTTTGTCTCCAGCCTCCTTGTTCTTAGGCTCTTTGAATAACTTTCTTTGACTTTCTTCACTTGCAACTCGCACTTCAAGGACTGTTTTGGTTTTATTTCCCCCCCCTCTTTGTTCTCAAATCCTGTGCTGTAATCAGAGGAGAGATCTTGAGGCTGTCAGCTGAGCCTGATAGCTGATGGCTATTCCATCAAGGAAGGAAATTTCTTCCTACTGGCAAATGTGGGGAGGAGGAGTTGCAGGGCTCCATAGTAAAGCTCTTTTTTTGTGTGTGTGTATTAAACATCCTTCCAAAAGTAATGGTAGGACTTCCTACTGTGTACATCTCCCTAGGAACAGCATTGTATTTCTTGCAGGTAGCAAGTACATTTCCCCCTCCTTTTCTTTTTTTTTTTTTAACAAGAAGGTCCCTCTCATCTCTTGTGCTAATCTGTGGGAAGTGTGCATCGATATCTCTGAGAGACATGCTGTAAAACCTGATGGTGTTTTTTATGTAGTCCATGGGGGTGAAAGGGCCATGGTGCAAATGTGTGCTTGAAGGGGCCCATGCTGCTCTGTGGGGACACATGCACATTGTGCACATGTGCTCAGATCCCAAGGAAATCCAAAATGCTTAGGCTTTGTGTTGTGCATCTGTCCTGTGTGGCTACCTTTTGCAGTCCCTAGGCCATTCGTGCTTTTATTTATTTGTTAACTTACTTGCTGGTGGAGAAAGGCTGTTTGGGAGGGCAAAGAAATCTGTCGTGTCTGCTCATACATATCATTTTAGGAGAGATTTCCCTTCTCTCAGTGTGCCGTGAGATGTGGGGGCAGCACTGGCAGCTGGGGTGCCTGCTGTGGGTCCCTG